AAATCCCATGTAGATATCCAAGATGATGAATTTGACAATCTTAAGAAATAAAATGTTACAGACACATGAATTTATGGCACAAAGAAATGAGAAATCACATTATGAAAGATTCTTAAGATGAATAAAACAACTCATTCCAATGCCAAAAAAGCTTTCTCAATTCATTAAAAAATTAATCAATATCAATCAATTATATTATATAAATCGAATAAAAAAATAAAATAAACAACTAAAAACATTAGGCAAATTATTAAAATAATTTACCTCATTTAATCGGGGCATGATTCGAAGAACCTCATTTGTTCGCATTGATATTATAATATTCGACCCCATAGCATCCATTACGTCAATTGATTCAATTTTTCGTGTTTCCCAGGGCCTAGCTGTAAATGCATAAGGCTTGGAGGTAAGAGCTCCGACTGGACAGAGATCGATTACATTTCCTGAAAGCTCGCTTAAAAACATCCGCTCAATATAAGTACCGATTTGCATTTCACTACCTCTTCCGGTTGTGCCCAAAACCGGAATGCCAGCAATTTCGTTAGCAAACCTTCGAAATAAATGTATGGTTAAAAAATATTTTTTTCGAGAAAAACAAATTGAAAATTAAGGCATACCTTACACAACGAGTGCAATGAATGCATCGTGTCATTACTGTTTTGATCAATGGACCAATGTTCTTGTCCTCAACGGCACTAAAATAATACGTTTTTCAACGCGAGGCATGTAACCAATAAACGGGAATAAATAAATACCTACCGTTTACCAATAAAATGATTGTCCGTGAAACGCGAACGATCAGAGCCGAAAACCATCGATTGATCCTTATTTTTAAAAATACAATCACAAAATAAATGAACATACCTGCAGGTCACATTCGCCGCCTTGGTCGCAAATCGGACAGTCAAGAGGATGATTCACCAATAAAAATTCCATCACGCCCTCGCGAGATCTTTTAGTCATGGGTGAATCTGTATTAATTCGCATTCCAGGAATGATTGGCATGGCACAGCTAGCCACAGGCTTTATGGACTTCTCAACTTCGACGAGACACATACGACAGTTACCAGCGATAGAAAGCCGTTCATGATAACAGAATCTATAGCGAATGAAAAGGAGTAAGATGGAGCGTAACCCAAGTCCAGAATATAAATTAATAAAAGAAAATAAATTAATAAAATGTCAAAGAAAGCTGAGTTCTCATGAGTATCAATATAGGTAATCTTGATTATTAGTTTCCACTGAAAGCGAAATGGGTTTATCGAGCAACAGTAGAATGTGACTATCGTCTAGTGATATAAGGATTCAAATTTTTAAAATACAATTTAACAAAAAATTAGTCGGCCAAATAAGTAATGAAACATAATTTTTAATTGAAAGTATCTCCAAGATAAGCGAAAATAATGTACCAATTAGAAGAAAAGGAAAAATAAACCTAATTTATTGTTAAATATTGACAAGAGATTGCATCACCAATTTTTACTAAATAATTGATTCAATTGCTGGGGAGACCTTCATTTCCTATAAATGTGAATGAAGAAGATTCATTGGTCAATCTCACAACAAGATGGCTGATTCTCGTACTGCAGTCGCATGATTTTAATATGACGTTCAGGTTA